AGCATCTTGGTTACAACAGTGGGTGTCGGATTCTGCTGGGTGAACGGACACTGGTGGCTCCGGCTGGCTGGCCAGTAGAGCTCACTGGGTTAACACACAGTGAGTTCTAATGACCAGTGTCGGACTGTGTGTGTGTACGAGTAGTATGTGTACAGTGTACATGGATGGTTATATTGCACTGACTAGTAGTACTGGGTGTTTCAACTTGCCTGTGTGTGTTGCTGGTCAGCATGGTCAAGGACACCATACATGTATTTTGTATACAAAGATAAGACTGGTACATTTACTTACAGGAGGGTATTGGAAGTTTTATAGAATGTAAAAAATTCCACATAGTTATTGGTTTTGTACATAGATGCATAATGTGTTGTACAAAGGTACATGTAAGTATTATATAATATCCATACCAAGGTATGCATAATATGTATTTTTTTGTAATAAAAATACCAACATTTCCTATAAATATCAGTGCAACACAATATTCACCCCAGTTTCATTTTGAGGAAAGCCTCTCAACATGACTGCAAGGGAGGTGAAAAATTTACAGCAAAGTTTGAGAAGTGAAGAGCGAGATGGATATGGCGAGAGATCTTTAAAGAAGAAGGGAAAAGGAGATCAGAAGAAAGGAAAAGGAAAGGCTCCAAAACAGTACAAGGATGCCAATTGTATGGCCAGGAGAAGGAAACAGGAGGATGAAGAGCTCAGAGCAGCCATCAGAGCTACATGTAGTTGCAAGGAGACAGGAATACACATGGGGAAAAGCTACAGAGTTGTGGTTGATACACCCCATTACAGATCAGCCAGCAAAGATGATAGATATTGTCATGGAAGTGGCTAAGCATCATTTGGGAGTGTATCACCACGTTTTCACAGACAGGTTATACACCTCTGTCTCCCTAGCCCGTCGCCTCCTTGCAAAGAAGACATACATAACTGGTACCGTCAAATCCAATAGCAAAGGGCTACCTAAAGAATTCGCAACCAAAGACACCAACCCACAGCAACACAAGATCAAGCAGATGAAGAAGACCAAGAGAGAACCTTCTATAGCCNCCCCAGTTTCATTTTGAGGAAAGCCTGTCAATATGACTCTGCAAGGGAGGTGAAAAAGTTACAGCAAAGTTTGAGAAGTGAAGAGCGAGATGGATATGGCAAGAGATCTTTAAAGAAGAAGGGAAAAGGAGATCAGAAGAAAGGAAAAGGAAAGGCTCCATAACAGTACAAGGATGCCAATTTTAAGGCCAGGAGAAGGAAACAGGAGGATGAAGAGCTCAGAGCAGCCATCAGAGCTACATGTAGTTGCAAGGAGACAGGAATACACATGAGGAAAAGCTACAGAGCTGTGGTTGACACACCCCATTACAGATCAGCCAGCAAAGATGATAGATATTGTCATGGAAGTGGCTAAGCATCATTTGGGAGTGTATCACCACGTTTTCACAGAGAGGTTATACACCTCCGTCTCCCTAGCCCGTTGCCTCCTTGCAAAGAAGACGTACATAACTGGTACCGTCAAATCCGATAGCAAAGGGCTACCTAAAGAATTCACAACCAAAGACACCAACCCACAGCAACTCAAGATCAAGCAGATGAAGAAGACCAAGAGAGAACCTTCTATAGCTGACAGAATGGCCAGCTTACTGCAGTCATTTGGAAAGATACCAGGTTGATGATGTTGCTCTCTTCATCACACCAAGGGTGGAGAGACCCGACCACTGATTTCCTGAAGCGTAAGGTTGTGAGTGACAAGACAGGCAAGGGAA